CCCTCGGCCCTTAAAGGGGAAAGGTTGCCTACCCCTGGTCAAGACACTCCGCCTCAAACCCAAATTTGCAGAGGCACGAATGCCTAGGGTTTGCTTTCAAATATTCCTTGATTCCTCTGTTTCTATAACTCGACTTCAAGACGCTGAGAGCATGCGAGTACGTGTGAATGAGTATCTGGGGTAAGAAAGAATACTCGCATTGATCTGAGGCTAGGCTTTCCTGCAGTAGCTCAAGAAAACTCTTTTATCTGCTTACCTCGGAGTAAGTCCCACTGAGTTGAATGGGGCTTACTTATGAGTAGGTTAATGAACACTTGGAGCCATTGGTCTCTGCAAATAATTCATTCCTGCGTGAATAAACGGGGTGGACGTGGTCCACTCTGAACAAAAAAGGTGCATCCACACTGTACAAATAATGCGCCCTGACACCACTTTAACTGCTACGGCTCCATCTTACAGAATCCTGGGATTTGTAGTTGTGTGAGGCACCGGCAGCTTTGGCAGAGAAGGCTAAAGACGTTGCAAAACTACAGATCCCGGGATTCCACAGGATGGGGGCTACAGCTTTTAAAGCACCGTCAAGCTGCAGTATTTCAACAGTGGTGTAGTGTTTGAGTGTTGGACTATATATGACTCTGGAGATCGGGGTTTGAATCCCTGCTCGGCCATGGAAACTCACTGGGTGACCTTGGGCAAGTCACACGCTCTCAGCCTCGGGGGAAGGCAATGGCCAACCTCCTCTGAACAAATCATGGCATGAAAACCTTAGGGTCACCATACGTCAGAAACGACTTGAAGGCACACAACAACAACAACAAACCCCAAGTCAACCCTCCACGTCCTCCGATTTGCTTCAACGCCGAATCCTCCCGTGTAGACTTCACATCATGTCCCAAGAAGAATTTAATGAATGATTCCCTCCTTTCCCCTTGTGCACGTTGTTTAGAAGGTTCAAGGTTTGGAAACCTTTGGAGAACTTCTGTTTGTAAAAGTATGTAATTTGAATTCCCAAGCCCCACCTCCACACCCCAAATAAATGCAAAATTCTCCTTGCGACTTCTCATCTGCCTCCAAGGCTGCACCCGCACTGCAGAAATAAGCCGGTTTGACACCACTTTAACAGTCCTGGCTCAATGCTACGGAATTTTGGGAATTGTAGTGGATTGTGGCACCAGGGGCGGAGCCCCAACGATTCCCAAATTGTCCTCCCATCTGTTTTTTTTTTTTTTGTAGCACAGTTCAGGCCTGTTCCCATTCACTGCGAGTTCAATTGAACCAGATCTTTTTGAGCGAGGTTTCAAGAGGTTTCCCTGCACGACCCAGACGATGACGATGATGATGATGATGATGATGATGATGGCAACCATCATCATCATCATCACAAGAGCAAGAACAAGCCGGACAAATAATTCCGATGACTGGTACCCAGAGAACAGGGCACAAATCCTTGCTTCCTATTTATATGCAAAACAAGAAGCGTCAGGAAGAAAGGGTCTCCAGCCCCCTCCTCCTGTACTCCTTTCTCTCTCTTTATTCCATGGTGATTTAGCAGCCGGAGGGGAGTTGTTGTCCTTTGCATGTTAATGTCTCCAGCACCTGTCACCTGGAGAAGTCGTGACTCCACAAAGCCCAGGGCGGCCACTTCACATTGGGACACATTGAGTCTGCCACCGATCAGCGCTTCTTCCCAGCCCTTTCCCCTTCCTTCCTCACTCCTGCCCTTCATCACTCAAGCTTACAGTCCTCTGGAAAACATCTAGGGGTAGTAGCCCTGTTGGCCATACAGCAAATCCAAAAACATCCAAACCAATGATGACTCTCTTGGGCCCACCAAAATGCACAAGGACATGTTGCAAGCTTTCGAAGTCACATTGGCTTCTTCATCAGGCAAACAGGAGAAAAAAATTGAAGATGTTAGTTAGTCTAGGGCAGGGGTCCCCAAACTATGGCCCATGGGCTGCCCCTGGCCCGTCGAGGCCTTCTTACCGGACCACGGTTGGTTCTGCCACCGCTGCTGTCACTCGCATGTGCTGCTGGGTACCATTTTGTCTTCCAAAATGGCATCTAGAGTTGCGCGCATGTGCCTCCGCCTCCCCCCCCCCCCCCGAAGATCTGGGGGCCAGCGAACCGTCCCCTAGATCAAAAAGTGTGGGGACCCCTGGTCTAGGGCCTGTACTTTCTGTTCAGGGTTTTTGCTCTTCAGGGTTCCCCTGTTGCAGCTACAATGTGGTATCTCACAATCCAGAAAATATGCCGGAGTAGCTGTCTTGGCCATTTAGCAGAAGAAGCCAGTGGAGCTTCGAAATCTTGCAACAAATATATTGTGCATTTTGGTTGGCCAATAAAGGTGGATTTTTGTTTGGTGGGTTTTTGTTTGAATTTGGCTAAATGGCCAACACACCTACCCCTGCATATTTTCTGGATTGTGAAATATATTTTAGCTCTACACCTACCAAGGAAAGGAGAAAAAGGAGGAAGGAGGAGGAGCCAGCCTGCAAAATTTACCCTCCTCATACCATCTTCACTAAGGGCAGAAACAACAAAATGCAGGTATCCTACTAACATCTACTTCATTTTTTCTCCTGTTTGGTTTGTAACATCTTGCTTGATGAAAAAGCCAGTGGAGCTTTGAAAGCTTACAACAAGTATATTGTAAATTTTGGTTGGCCAATAAAGGTATCAGTGTTTGGTGGATTTTTGTTTGAACCTATCTTGTTTGTTGCTGTCCCCTGCCTTGATCCATGGGGAGAGGCGGGTAAGAAATAAATATTGTCATTATCATTGTCATAACCCCTGGCATAGAATGATAGAGTCATAGAGTTGGAAGAGAGCTTATCCCATGGCCTTAAAATCAATTGATGATGATGATGATGATTACTATTATTATTATTTATTATCTCCCACCTTTTCCCCAATATAGGGACTCAAGGTGGCAAACAGCAAGTTTAAAACAACACAGTTTAAAAACAAAACAAAGACATTAAAATATAAAATAAAAAACCCAAACAATTTTAAAAGTTAATTTTTTTAATCAATCAATCAATCAATCAAAGCCTACTAGCCCAGTTGTTGTTGTTTTTGTGTGCCTTCAAGTCGTTTCTGACTTGATGTCAATTCTATCAAAGGGTTTTCTTGGCAAGTTTCTTCAGAGGGTGTTTGCCATACTTTGAGGTTGAAAGTGCGTGACTTGCCCAGGGTCACCCAGTGGGTTTCATGGCTGAGTGGGGATTCGAACCCTGGTCTCCAGAGTTAAAGTCTAATGTTCAAACCACTACATAATGCTGGCTCTCTCCTAATACAGTACTGCTGGTCATTGGTTCAGGGTTGACAAGGAAGAGTCTTGCGGGAACTGAAAGGCTAACAAGTTTTATTTGGCAGAAGCTTTCCTTGAAAGCTTTTGCCAAATAAAACTTGTTAGTCCTTCAGGTGCCACAGGGCTCTTTGTTGTTTTTGCTGCAACAGACTAGCAAAGCTACACCTTCTAGAAAATCCATCCAGGACTGGCGTAGCATGTTTCTTGGGAGTCAGCCATGCTGACCTCAGTAATTTGGGACTTCACTTCCAAACAAAACATTTTTGAGCCTTGCAGTCTTAATTCAAAGGAGAGTTGTAACCACGTACTTTAGAGAGAGCTGGCAGATTGCCTTTTCTCTAGGCATTTCTTTCATTTAATAGCTTCATTAAATGGGCACTGATGTCGAACATCAGGGATGTGTCACACCACACCTTTTGAGGGCCTGTGGCTCCCAGCTGCTGAATCCAGCTCCCTTTCTAGAGAAGAGGCTGGAGAGAAATAGTCAGGAACTGAAATGAGCCAGAAGAGTAGGCAAAAGCAAAGGGTTTGTTGCTGATTGGCAAGAAACAGCCAAAAAAAGCAAGTAGCCAAGGGTATGGTAATTGCTGCCTTTCCTTGCTGAGAAAGCCATTCCAGTCAGGCAGATGCATTTCAAGCAAAGCAAGCAGCTTCATTTATATACCACTTCATACTGCACCATGCAGTGTCTAAGCGGTTTACAACTATAAGCTCATTGCTCCCCAATAGCTGGGTACTCATTTCAGTGCTCTCAGAAGGATGCAGGCCTGAGTCAAGCCTAACCCCTGGCTAGTATTGAACTCGCAACCTTGTGGTTTATGAGTGAGTGGCTGCAGTACAGGCATTTAACCACCCAAGAACCCCCCAAACCAATAGGCACAAGAGCCTTGCCAGAAAAAATGTGGCAGCTCTAAACACACATACTTCATATGTTTAATCCATCCTAATAATAATCACCAAGTGAGGTTAAAAATGCATGTTCTCACAGTCTTCTATTAATTCATCCCCTCTTATTTCAGGATAATTTAAAGCCAAGTACTCTGACAATCACTTGCCATGGCTTGAAATAATTTCCCCACCATGATGGAAACCTACCAGGTTGTGTGAAGAGGTGACTCAGGCCTCATCTGCACTGAACAAATAATGCAGTGTGATACAATTTTAGCTGCCATGGCTCCATGCTATGGAATTCTGGGATTTGTAGTTTTGTGAGATACTTAGCTTTCTCTGTCGGAGAGCGCTTGTGCCACAACAAACTACAAATCCCAGGATTCCATAGCATGCAACCATGACAGTTAAAGCAGTGTCAAACCCATTATTTCTGCAGTGAAAATGCAACCTCTGTCTAATTCATCCTTTGCTTACCTGTACTACAATTCCAGAATTAATTACCATAGCATAACTGACTATGGGAATTGTACTTCAACACATTGGGAGGGTAGCAGGTTGGAAAAGGCTGGTTGTCTGTTTAGTTATCTATCATATCCCACTTTTGTGAAAAACGTCAGTGAGCTCTGCTTCCATATAGCAGCATACAGTATATATTTTGTGACCTGCTATGAATCCTGTGTTGGCAGAATATAAATTAAACAGACTAACCTGTTTCTTCTTCATGCAGGACCCTGATGTCAAGTTTCACATTATCACTTTATTATTCTTAGGCTAGAAAATAAAGACATAAATGGGGGCAGCAATCAAAAAGAAGTTGTCAAACCAGATAGAACTGCAGTCCCACCCCAAAGAGAACATTTTCCTGATCCGTTTACGCAAGGAAAGAAGTGATTCATTCAAGATGCATATGGAATATGCCTTTCCCTTCTAAAGACATGACCTTTCAGATATCTTGAGAGAGCTTGGGTTGGGCCAGTGAGAGAGAAAGCCCATGTGTGTTGTTAGCTGTCTTGTTGGATCAGTGTGTGTCATCTTGAAATGCATGAAATGGGATGCATGTGAAAAATGAATGAACGGAGGCTTCTGAACATAAGGAGGATCATTGTCAGTCTGTGGTGTGAACCAAGCGTTGTATCATCATCACAATCATAATGATCCACATATTCAGGGGACAGATTTGCTCACATAAACAAGCCAAAGGAGTAACACATCTTCTGAATGAATTTTTTAAAACTGGCACAAATGACTAGCCTCACTCCCAGAGTTTTATTGGGTCATGGCAGACTGTAATTCAAACTTCATCATCTTCTATGTGTGACCTGTGTTTTTTTCTGATCCCTATTCGGATTGGTTTCTCCCTGCTAGGAGAAGCTAGGTTGATTCCCTTGTGCTTGTTCTTCTTCTGGCAGGCAAACATGTTTTTATTCCAACAGACCCCAGGCATGTGATGAAGGAGTTTTTAACAGATTGGATGCTGCTTCATTCTGGGGTGGTTTTTTTTTTAAAACTGTGTTTTGAATTGTTTAGTTTCACTGTTTTAATTAAGATCCTGTTTTATCTGTATTCTGTTATAGCAAGCCACATTCAAGACAATTTTTGGTGGAAAGGCATGATGAAAATATAATTCATTTGATTTTTTTTTCTTACCACACACACACAAATCATATAGGAAGGCAAGAGGATGCATTTTGATTGGTAGCACTAGAAGCCCTCTTTCTGGAAGCAACCAAGATTTCAGGATCCTATAAGGTTGCCAGCTGCCTCCCACCCCAGATTTATTGTAGAAAGCAGCAGGTAAACCTTGTTACAATTTCAAGTTATGGTTAAAGACACAAGCAGGAACACTGGGTGTAGCCACACTGCAGCATTAAAGCAGTTTGACACCATTTAAACTGCCATGGGTCTATCCTACAGAATCCTGAGATTTGTAGTTTGGTAAGGCACTAGAGCTCAGGCTGAATGCCTCACTAAGGCAGGTGGGACCCCAGCGCTAGTTGGAGTCCATACTTGGCAGGTCCCTTCCATATCTTGTCAGTAATGTCTTTGCTGTTTGAATAGTTAAATAGTTTGAATCCACACAGTGTCTAGTCTCTTTAGAAATGGGTTAGCAAAGACATTCAAAGAAGAACCTTCCAGCATTTGGCCTGTTGGCTTTTGCTGCATCACCTAGACCTAAATCTGTGTATACCTCTGAATTTGGGAAAGGTCATTCTTTGGACTACAGCATCAACGTTCTCATGGTGCCACCATCTTCACAGACCTCTAGTAAAGATATAGAAGGCCTTCTCAGTGGCTGCTTCAGGTGGTGGAATTTCCTCCCACGGAAAGCTAGAATGGCTTCATCTCTGTTTTCCTTTCACCGGCAGGTAAAATCTTTTTTTTATATAAGCCTTTGATGATGAGTGGATCATGCAAAGCCTTTGATGATGAGTGGATCATGCAAAGAGATTTTAATGGGGTACTTCGGCTGCATTTTCTTCTGTATTGTTATGTCTTTTAAATTATTTTATGCTGTTGAGTTTTTACTTGATGGCTTATTATTATTATTATTATTATTATTTTAAAAAACCCTTTTGAATTACCATTTTTTAAAAGCTATATTCTGTTTTAATATTCTTATAAGCTGACCCGGGTCTCTTGTTGAGAGAAAGGTGAGATGTAAATTAAATAAATAAATATAAATAAGAATTTCCTCAACCCATCTTTTGAGAGTTGTAGTTCCAAAAACCAACTTTCTTCTACCCAGCTTTAACCACCAAAGACTGTCATGATTTTCTTCTGGAAGTCATGAAATCCACAGTTGAGTTGCACCTAAGCAAAATCCTTACTGGCTGATAGGAAATGCAGCAATCCTGAGGACTGTTGAATTTGTTGATTAAGGTGGTGCTCGCCCTTGAGTGGACACAGACTCATAGCAATCCTGTAGATGAGATATCTCCAAGACCCCTTATCCTTCACTGCTCTGGTCAGGGCCTGCAGGCCTACGCCTCTGGCCTTCCTGATTGAGTCCAGCCATCTGGTGTGTGGTCTTCCTTTCTTTCTACTGCCTTCCACCTTTCCTAGCATTGTTGTCTGTTCTAATGAGTCATGCCTTCTCACAATATGGCCAAAGGAGAACACCCTCAGTTTGATCATTTTAGCTTCTAGGGAGAGTTCAAGCTTGATCTGTTCAAGGAGCCATTTGTTTGTCTTTTTTATTGTCCACAGTATCCTCAGCACTCTTCCCCAGGACCACATCTCAAATGTGTTGGCTTTCTTCTCATCCACTTTCTTCACTGTCCAGCTCTTGCATCTGTTCATGGTGATGGGGAATATAATGGCTTGTATGATTCTAACTTTAGTTTTCAGCTGTATATCTTTACTCTTTAGGGGGGTTGCAGACTGCCAGAAATAGTGCAAATTGAGTCCACTTTTAGGGTTAGGGTTAGGGTTAGGGAATCATGGGGACTGTAGTTTATTGTGGCACCAGAGCTCTCTGACAGAGAAGGTTCAATGTCTCAGAAAAAAAAACAGTTCCCATGATTCCCTAGCACTAACCCTAACCCTAAAAGTGGATTCAATTTGCACTATTTCTGGCACTCTCCCTGTTTGATGTTGTTTTTAGTTGCCTTCAAGTCAACCTCAATTCATGGTGAACCTGTGAATGAGTCTTCTCCAAGCCTCCCTATCCTTTACTTCTCTGCTCAGGTTCTGTAGGTTCAGGCCTGTGGTCTCCCTAATTGAATCTATCCATCTGGCATGTGGCCCTCCTCTCTTTTTACTGACTTTTCCTTCCCCAGCATCATTGTCTCATCTAATGAGCCATGCCTTCTCATGATGTGGTCAAAGTATGACAGCCTCAATTTGATCA